GCCCCACACCCCACTTTAACTTACCGTAACCTACTATTTTGTAGGGTCCCTCTAAATGGTAGACTCGGGTTGAGAGTAAGATCCTCCGACAGAGTAGGTTATGGCAGTTTAAGGTAAACCCTGAACCCCGAACATGCGCGCACCTGTGCACCCCTATACGTACACCCCTACAGCCTCAAACTCTGAACCCTGAACTTTCAACCTCACGTCTCAGGCAGACCCCCAGCTCTTCGACGAGTGCTCGGCCAAGCATCGCGCCGACGAAGAGGAGGAAGGTCGACGCGAGCAGGACTTTTGCTGATCTCTATCTGGGTAGTTGTCAAAATGATGGTCCCATTTGGGGTACCCTAAATAATAGGTGCCGTATTATAGTAAGGACCCAAAAAGGGACCATAATTCTGACAACCACCCATCTGGTTTTTAGTGTAGAGTTTAGGATTTAGGAACCCATACCCGAAACTCATTCCCAGCTCCAAACCCCCGCCTTTTTTCACATTCTTCTGAGGCTTTCGATCCCAACCTTAAGGGCGTGTGGGGTTAGTGCTTACCCAGAGAGCCCAATACCCCTTAATTAAGCAATATACCTTAAATTATAGGGGCCTTAATATTTATGATTTAAGCTATATTCCTTAATTAAGGGGTATTGGGCTCTCTGCTTAGGGGTTTCAGAGCATGGTTTCGCCTCCATTAGAGAAGATTTTTGTATTTGCTCCCTTCTTTGTGTTCAACACCCAGTGGCCCCTTAGTAGTTCCTCTGTGGGACTGCCTAGTCGGATCCTCAATGGAAGCCACAAAAAGGGACTACTATGGGGCCTACCTTGAGAACCCAAAACCCACTTTTTTGTAGGTTCTTATTATAAACCCTAATATAGGATTTATAGGGACCCTACAAAAACGTAGGGTTTTGGGTTCTTAAGGTATGGGTAGGCTTGGAGTTTTCAGTGTTAAGGTCTGGTTAAGGCTCAGGGACCTTTCACTCGTCTAATACAGGGGCCTTCATTAGTAGAATAGGGTTTGGGGTTTAGGGTTTAGGGGTTTAGGGTTTAGGGTTTAGGGTTTAGGGCCATGTATTCATATAGTATATACATTGGCCCCAAAGTACCTATATAGGGACTACTTTAAGGCCAAAGTATCTACTATTAGGTTACATGGACACTTAGGGTAGGGGCCTTCATTAGTAGAATAGGGTTTGGGGGCCCGTTATAGTATAGTTACAAAACGGAACCCCCAAAATAGTATTGGCAATTAGTTAGGCCGTTCCTTAGTTTTATAGTATAGTAGACCCCAAAACCCTATTCTAATGATTAAGGCCCCTACATTACTTCGGACGTCGGACCTCTGGATTCTGCTGGCAATATGGCTTAGGGCTCCGGGTGGATAGACTACCTCTAAGGGTTCCAAGGACCCAATAATAAGGTACTTTGCTTACGGATTGTGGTTATCTAGGTTAATATTTTGGGAGAGTATATGGGAGTTTCCGAAATAATGGGTACCTTGTTTTGGGGTCCTTATAATAAGGGTCCTACTATTTAGGGTGCTATATTAGGGTCCCCTATTTTCGGAAACCCCCATATGAATATTAGGTACTTGGACCCCTAGTGTACATGTCAAGGGAGTCGCAGCCAAAGCCCCAACCTCGATGCTGTTCCTGGACTCCGCAACATACCCGTTAAATACCGCATCATAAGGGCTCTAGTGAGTCTACTGGTATCAACGGGTACTTGGGGGTCCGGGTTTTTCCACACTAAACCCTAAAACCTATAGCCGAAGGGCGCAGAAGGGGAGTGGGAGAGAGCTCTATCAGAAGCCAGTCGCCGCAAGACCTCCGCAGGGTTTTAGACATCACTGGAGCACGACAGTGGTCTAGACGATGCCAACCGGAATAAAAATATTAATAAGAATAATAATAATAAGAAGAATAATAGTAATAGTATTCAAAGTAATCACAGTAATAACTAAATAACCATGATCATCATAGCGACAATGCTGACATTCATGAAAATAGCGCCGCTAATGATCTGTTATCCCTGAACCCCGGACCTTCCGCTCCGTAATCCTCAGCCACAAGCCTGAGGGTTTAGGGTTTAGGGTTTAGGGTTTAGGCAAGGCTTAACCCCCCCTTAACCCCAAATAACCTATATACTTTTTTAAGGACTAAAGTAAAGAGTTCATGATAAGGAACCCTAAAAAGGTAGGTTCTTTGGGGTCCAGGTTAACCCTACCTTCCACCCCGAACTCGACGGATGACAGATGCACGTTCTCAAAGTCGCCCGGAATGCGTTGAGTTCTTGTCATACACTCGTCATACCCTTAGGCACATCGGTTTCATAATGCCAAAATCTCCCCCCCAACCCTAAACCCTAAACCCTAAACCCTAAACCCCAATCCTAAACCCTAAACCCTAAACCCTATATAAACCCTAAACCCTAAAACCCAACCCTAAACATGACACCATTGTAGTGCCTTTTGGGGGTTACCTTCTAGGATCCTAAATAGAAGCCGCAAAAAGGAACTACTATGGGGCCTATGGGTATAGTCTCCATTGTAGTTCCTTTTTGGGGGATACCTTCTAAAATCTCTCATATTTCATTGGTTAAACCAAAAAAAAAGGAACTACCATGGAAACTACGGGTACACCGGAGATTTTTCCCTAAACCCTAAACCCTAAACCCTAAACCCTAAACCCCATTTTTGCACAGGAGCGCACGCGAAAGTGGCAAGTTCTCCAGGAGATGCATGATGCGAAAGTGAAAGTCTAGGCTTTCGGTGACTCTCCCGCGATTCTAGCAGTGCGTCACGCTATGGGTTAGGGTTTAGGGTTTAGGGTCTAGGGTTTAGGATTTAGGGTTTAGGGTTTAGGGTTTAGGATGTTTGCTCTAAGGCTTGGGGTGAGTGCTTGATGCTCCCTGGAACCTGTACTCCTGAACAAGAAGGTTTGTTCAGTATCGAGTTGGGGCGGTGCCGGGGGCCCGACTTGCAGAGAAAAACGGCAGAAGAAGGTCAGCAGACACAGAGAACATGGTTTATCCTAGCCGTGAGCATTTCTCGCCTGAGTGGTCAGAAAAACCTCGGATAAGTCGGGTGCCGGAATCTGTTGCCTACTCTGGCACCATATCAAGGGCGGTGTTTCACAGCACGCTGCACAGACCGGCTTGTGCGTAATACCTTGCCCATGTAGCAGTTGGGTGCCAGGAAGACTTGGGCAGACATCATAATGCTGTTGTCAGAGCTTGGGGTGCAGCATCGCTTTTTGCGAGATGTTCTGCTGCCTCCTAGCGATTCATCTTGCAATATGTTTGCTGTCAGGATGCTGTGGTCGTGAAAGCCCAAACATTCCGAATCTTCGAAATGGCAGCACGGCACGCGCGAATGCATCAGTGACCTTAGATGTTCGGGACTGCTCTTGTGTCCAAACAGCGCTGCCGTTCCTTCGTCCTGACCGGGTGCTACGTCTTGGACTTAGCGTTCTATGGGTTGTAGCAGGGATTGACACTATGTCTTGATTTTCGCCAGTTTTAGCAACACTCTTTGATCTTCAGCAGACTTAAAGCTTTCATTAGTGAATTAACCGAAGCGGCGACGACTCTCAATGGTAGATGCGGCCGCAGCAGCCAAAGCAACACGGTATCCTGAACCCTACAAGGCCCGAACCCCGAAACCAACCCAAGACGCTAAACTTACACTCCAGACTCTGCACTCCTCCAAGCCACAAGTTATACCTAAAACCCTCAGACTTTAAACCTGAGATTACAAACCCTCCCTAATACTTCGTGACACACCCACTCCATCCAGTGGTCTTTGCCATCTCTGCTTTAGCCTCGCTCGTTGCTGCGCTGTCTGGGCTCACGAACCCTGGGATTTCCCCCAGGTTCACAGCAAAGGTAGCTGCGACACAGAGTTTAGCACAATAAACCCTACTAGAAAAACCCCAAGCCCTACACCCTAAACCCTAAATTTCCAAATCTCTGTGCCCAAAACCCTGCACCGTGAACCCTACCAGGAAGCATAAGTCCTGAACGCGAGATCTGCATGTCAGCAGCTTGCCTGCTGCTTGGCTTGAAAGGTGCAGGGCCCCTGCCGGTTCTCAGGGTGTAGGTTTTAGGTTCCCACAGGGCCCTAAGTACCTAGTTAGTAGACTCAGTAGAATGTAGGGTTCCATAATAGGAGTCATTACTATGATTCAGGAAAGTATCCCCTCATAACAGAACCTACATAGGACCTTTTGGGTTCTTGTTCGGGGTTTCCAGTTATTAGCGGCTGTTGGGAGTCACTGGGCTTTGATGGTTTAGGTTTAGGGTTTAGGGGGTCAGGGTTTACGGTTTAGGGTTATATATTCATAATTGGAACCGGGCGGTATGGTGCTGTAAGGCAATTCCTACCCTATTTTAGGGTTGAAGGGGTGACGGCTGGAGGCTTTGGTTGGGGCTACGGTTCAATTCTGCATGCACATTAATAACTAGAATGAGGTTTTGGGTTCCATTGTACTATAATGAAAATAACGAGCCCCAAAATTGTATAGGCAAATATTAAGGCCCCTAGACTAGGCATATAGGTTTTGGACGGTTTTTCGGCTGTCTGTTGGGCCCTACCCTAAACCCTAAACCCTAAAGTTCCTGCTTTCCGGACCTTCATGCCGCCTCTAGGACGTTATTTGGGATGAGGAGAACCAGGCTGCTCTGCAAAATGATCTGAACTGCAAGCCTAATATGGGGGCCTTAGTAACATATTTTTGTGGGGGTCCCTTATTAAAATTAACAGTACAATGGGCCCCCCAGACCTAATAATTGATAGTATAATGCGCCCCAAAAACTTATTCTAATTATTAAGGCCCCTACATTAAAGCCAGGGTTTGGGGTTTAGGGTTTAGGGCACTGTCAGTCCTGCGATAGCAGCTGCAGCAATGGGTTCTGCCATGCCTATACCCTAAATCGTCAGACTCTGAATTGCGGGAAGCCACTCGCGCTGTGGCTCAAGTGTAGGTGCCCGTCCCGTAACCGTGAATGCAGCCTCGAATCATGGCGATCCTTGTTGTGCTGATCCTCGGCATCACAAGTGCCTCGGGGCTTCAGGAGGCGAATAGCAGCATCTGCCTTTCCAACACCGGGAAGGCGTATGATGAGTATTATTGCGGCGAGGTGGGCAAAAAGCGAGGTTGCATATGGAAAGCTGGGCAGTGCGTTTGCGAAAATGGCGGGCAGTATTCGAAGTCCAGCCACAAGTGCTGGCCACCAGCTCCGTTGACAACACAGGCGGCTCCGACCACAACCACTGTGCCAGTTGCTGCGCATCCCTCGCAGGAAGGCAATGGCAGCGTCTGTGTTTCGAACTCGGGTCAGCCCTACACTGAGTACTACTGTGATTCGGTAGGAAAGAGCAGGGGCTGCATCTGGAAGGACAACCAATGTGTCTGCGCAAATGGCGGCTGCTAGGACCTAGAATTAACTTTACTTCGTTTCAACAGGGCTACGAACCCCGAAAACCCAACAACGCAAACAAGGGCACCAGCTTTTTCATGTAGCTTACTGCAACAACCCAGGCTACTACGCCAAGTCCAGCCACTATTGCTGGCCACCGGAATCGCCGACGCGCTCCCCAACTCCGGTGCCAAAACCGGCCTCGCCGCCTGCTCCTGCAGGGACCGACGTCCTCGACTACTTGGTCTCGAGGCTTTAAACCCTTCACCACCCCCCCAGAGTTTAGGGTTTAGGGTTTCCTAAGGACCCAATAATTTGAAACTTTGGTTCGGGATAGTAGTTATCTAGGCGAATATTTGGGAGAGTATATGGTTATCAGGTACTTGGACCCTTAGAGCAACATGAGCGCCCTGAGCCCTATGAGCCCTTTTCTTTCAGCTTGGATTTCTAAACCAAGAGCCCTAAGCCTAAACGCTTTTCTTTGGACTTCTTCGCCCTGAGCCTTCAACCATTTTCTTAAGGGGTGGGGCAGCTTTGAGTCCAAACCTTAGACCTGCAGAGTAACACGCCAGACACGACGAGCAAAGGGGAAGAACGCACGTTAAGGTTTCGGGTTTGGGGTTCGACCGATTCCTAAACACCTACAGAAATGCAGACGAAAAGCCGCAAAAACATGAAACTTGAACAATCTCATCCCGCGCAAGAACCCTTTAAAACACCGTAAGACTCTACCGCAAGTTGGCTGCTTAGGTAGCATGGCTGCCCGGGTCGCATTGGTGCGCCGGCTTCATTGACGCCTTCATTGGTGCATGCTGCATATGCGCTTCGACCTGTTACTACTCGTAGCTGGTAGTAGGTACTTGGAGGCAGTCTGGGATTCTGCCTCGGTTAGGGTCTAACTTAAACCGAACAGGTTTTGGGTTTTTGTGGTGCAGTAAGATTCTCAAGCCTTGCTCCCTAATTCGTTCCAGCCCCAAATAAACCCCCTAAATCCCTTGAGCCCTAAAACCCTAAATCCCTAAACCCCAACATCTACTTACCCAACCGCTAAGCCGTAGCACAGCCCTATAAGCCTTGAACAACTCTTATTAAGAACCCTAAACCCTAAACCCTAAACCCTAAACCCTAAACCCTAACCAAGGCGCCCTTCCGTGCACCAGACAGCACGCACGGCGGTGGATCCCACGGAGGCCTGCGCTCGCAGCGTCGCAGCAAGCCAGGCAGGCGATGCTGGAGAATGGAGGTGCGGCTCAGGGTTGATAAGGGTTTGGGGTTTGACGGTTTACCTTAACCCCAAATATCCTACCTTTTTAAGGACTTATTTTTAAGGACGTATATAAAGATTTCATAGCAAGGGGACCCTAAAAATGCAGGTTCTTGAGGGTCCAGGTAGGGTTTAGAGGGTATGTGGTTTCGGGTTGATAGGGTTTTGGTGTTCAGGGTTAGGGTTGATCCGGCTTTTGTGTCTTTTGTCCTATATGGGGGTTTCCGAAAATAGGGGACCCTAATATAGTACCCTAAATAATAGGATCCCTATTATAAGGACCCCAAAATAAGGTACCCCTAATTTTCTGAAACTCCCATATGTGGCGCTTGTTCGACCTTTTCGGGCACCGTGAACTGTAGAGCAGGTATGGTTGCTCAGCTTTTCGGGGCTTTTGGTTCAGGGTTTGGGGATTTCCCGGCTTGCCGCGCATAACCCTATCCGTCCAGGCGGAAGGAGAAGCTTGTAACTACATCTTAGGGGTACTTAGAAATAAATTTTAATCTTTGGCTACTGTAAACCCTAAGAAGCAGCTAAAATTATAATTTTTGCTAGGGGTCTAAGTTCAGTATAGACACTGTTACATCCTTTTTCGACAACCATGTGAGATGAACCTTCGCAGTTCTCATGATTTCGGCCTTTGCGGCGTTGGGGCAGTGTTCGGGAGGACTCCCACAGGGTCCTATGTACTACAGCTATGGGGGATACTTCCCTGAATCACAAGAATAGTTCTAATATAGAAACCCGACATTCTACTATACAGGTACATAGGACTTTTGGGCAATAATTAGAACAGGGCTGCGTGACTGTACTCCCCCCTGTTTTCAAAACTTTAGGGGGACTAAAATATTTTTGAACACTCACAGGCCTGGTGAAGCCGTCCAAAAGCAGCAACCTAGCAGTGAACCCTAAACTCTAAACCACGTAAGAAGCCTCTCCCCACCTGCACGCGACCTCTTTTCAAACCCGATTGAATCTCTGCTAGGAATCCACAGAAACTCTACATCACCCTCACGAAACCCTGCTAATTAATCCGTGATGCAGCCGTTAAACACCCCCATTGAAAACCACTGTCAAATCCGACAGAACCATTGAACACCATAGAACCCTAAGTGCGAAACCCGCCTAAAACGTTGCAATCCTTTGATGCCCGAACCCCACACAACCCTGTAGCATTCCTATACCCTAAAGCCTAAGCCCACAACCCTAAACCCTAAAGGCCCTAAAGCTTAAGCCCACAACCCTAAACCCTAAACCCACAACCCTGAATCCTAAACCCTCAGCCCGCAACCCTACATCTTCACCGCTTTAGCCTCAACTCCAGGCAGAGAGGAGCGCGTGTCCTGGTCGGTGCAGTCTCGTCTTCACTGGAAACGTCCAGCACCTGCCCAGAAGTATAAAGGTTTGGGGTTAGGGTTCGTTCGGCTTTGTAGGCCTTACAGTTCAATTGAACCTTAAACCAGAAACCCCTAAACCCTAAACCCTACACTCGAAACCCTACACCCTAAACTACTAATAACGAGACTGCATACACGAAATCCTACCTGAAATCCTACGCTTGAGCATTGCACGGTCACAGACAAGGGGATGCGGCTCGTGTCCACCGAGGGCATCTCATACTGAGGACAGTCGACTTCTTGGGTGCCGAATTCGCAAGCTCAAAAAAAATACATTCAGTTTGAGGATGAACTATCCCGACAAAGTTAAAGTTTATCAACTCAGCTACTAAGACTGTTTAACTGAGGGGATCATGGCCTCAGCTGTGATTGCAGCGATTCACACCCGCCCTGACCCACGTCGAAAGTCGCAATTTGTTGTGTCATTGGTTATAGCACGAAGCTTGATTCCCCCCCTTCTCCAGGCGTCTTACTGCACCTTGTCAGGTTCTATAAAGTGTTCCTATTGATCAGCCCTTTTCGAGTACGCAAAGTCTCGAATGGTTCGGCAGAGCTACGGCCGGACCCCTGCAGACAAGTCACCCCGAGGGTGTAGGGTTTGTTGGGATTTAGTTGCATTTATAGGGGCTTGATATGATAGGGGCTGCAAAACAATGCAAAGGGTTCTGTGGCGGTTTTACAAGGGTGCTGAAAGTTTTACGCGTTGTCCAAAGTGCCTACGGTATGGTTTTTGGTTTAGAATACCTAGTAGTTACTCTAGGCTAGTGTTCAGTGTAGTGTAAGTAATCCGAGAAGCAGGCCAATCCACACAAACCCAAACCCTGAACCACAAATCCCAGAATCAAGCATCCCAATCCCTAACCAACAATCCTGAACCCTTGTCGATCGTCGACTACTTAAAGCCTATATACAAACCCCTCCAAACTGCGGCGACCTGGGTCCTTCCTTAATGATTGCAAAAGGCTTTGGGGTATAACTCCACTACAAGTCGGAACTCGACGGAATAGGCTTGATATCTCTTCCGACCCTAAATCCTACTGAAAAGGGTCCCGATACTTTCAGATCACTCTAAACGAATGCCCAACCCAAGGCCTCTCCTTACGAGATTCCGGACCCTGCCAAGGAGATGCGAGAAACCCTTAACCCTAGACTCAGGCCACTGACTGCGAACCCAAAAGCCTCAAGCTCTGACCCTATAAGGGTTTAGGGTTTAGGGTTTAGGGTTTACTATAATTCCTAAACCTTTTTCCATAAACTGGAACCCTCAACCCTTCATGCCCTTTAGAGGGGTAGTCTGACCCCGGGGTCACCCTGAAGGCCCCAACCCTGAACCATCAATCCCAACATCCCCCAAACCTCTATCGGATGCTTGATGGAGGGTAGTTCAACGGGGAAGGGCACTAGGGACTTCTAGAGAGCACCAGGGAAAACACTGGGCTATTGAGTTATATACCCCCTTGAACCCCCCTCACGTCAGGATCCCCGACTCAAGCCCCATGTCCCAAGTAGGACCCGAAGCGCCGAACCCCCTCACTCCTACCTAATTACCACAGAGGCCTTATTAATTCAATTTCGGGGGAGTCGTCCCTAAAAAGCATTAACCTCAAGGAACAGCATTGATAACTCTTCAGACCCTGTATCCCGCAGAAACCCTCAAGAACCTCTAGTATTCAGTCCCGAGACCCTATAAACCCTAAACCCTAAACCCCACAAACCCTATAAGCCCTAAACCCTCTAAGCCCTAAACCATACACCCTGTAAATCCTATAAACCCTTAACCCTAAACCCTAAACCCCCTATAAACCCTGAACCCTACATCTTCAGACCCTTTCTCCTAGATCCGGCGGACCTCGGTGCTGCGCTTGAGGGTACCGAAGGCCATGGCAGAAGGGTTAAAGGATCGCGGGACTTCGGGTTTCGGGTTTAGGGTTAGGGTTTAGGGCCTATAGTAAATAGGTCTTAGGGTTTAGGGTTTAGGGGTTGGGGTTAAGGGCCTATAGTAAATAGGTCTTAGGGTTTAGGGTTTAGGGGTTGGGGTTTAGGGCCTATAGTAAATAGGTCTTAGGTTTAGGACTCAGGGCTTAAGGCAGCAAGGTACCTGTAACCTTGCTTACATACTAAGCCCCATGATCCTACACGTGGGAGGTTATGAGGCGGGGAGGGCAGTCGGGTACGTGTGGTGCCATCTGCCACTTCAAAAGAGATCAGATCAGAGCTTGTGGATATCGGGTTTAGGAGTTTAGGATTCTTGGTGGACTGTTGGGTTCGGTACTTCAGACCCATGGAACGTGGATATCTGCGCTGCTGCACAGCCAAGCCTGAGCAAAAAGTTGCCAACGACGGGACCGACGATGGTGTTTTAGCAGCCTAAAACTCATCGGACGGAGTTGCTGAGGAAAAAGACCTGGGAAACCAACTCGTAGATGAACACCCAAACACCATCGCGTGCACCAACCAACAAGCCCATGCACCGCAAACCCTAAACCCTAAACCGACAATCTTTACATGACATGAGCCTGGTCCTTTCCACAGAGATCCTATCCATACAATCACTCCTAGCTAGAAGCAGTTGGCTTGGCGCATGGATGGGAGGTTCGATTACGACTCAGGCTTTAAATACTATAGCCAGGGCCCATATAGCTCAAACTTGGCTTTTCTGTAGGTCATCGTGGGATCATGAAGGGATTACGAAGGGACAAAAATTGATATAACTGCCATTATCAGCGAACGTCTATAGTATAGGGTTCAATGCGAGGGGGCCTCATCCATCCCGACTAGGTAGTCCAACCGTACAAGCAGCAAGACTTTAAGCATTAAGCATCAAGCCAATAAACACTCTTGCAATGAAGCAAGTAGCGTAATGTCTTCACTATACATATAGAAACCATGAGACATACACCATACTACTTGGGGCTTACGTCTTAAATTTGCCTAAAGGATGTGAAATTTGGAAAAAGCGCGGGTCAGAATTTAAGCCTAAATAGTAAGATCCGTCCTCGCTTGTTGTGAGAACCTCTAAAACATAAAATAGCACCCTAATTTGAAGCAACCTGCGTCCTACAAGAGCCTTCCTTTACAACCTTTGATTTGAAACTGATGGAATCAACAGAAAACTGCAGAACATCTCGAAACCCCCACGCTACTACAGCCTAAACCCCAAATCCTACACCCTAAATGCCCATCGAAACACCATCAACCCCTAAAGGAGCCCTGAAAGGAACCCCTTATAGGAAACCCTAAAGATCTCTTAAAGGAACCCCCAAAGAGCCCCCAAAGCGCATAGACCCTGAACCCTGAGGCTCCACCTGCCAATGCACGGAATACGCGCAGGCCTTATAAGTAGCCCCTAAATGACTTCGCCTAGGGCTTTAGGGGTTTGGTGCTTTAGGGGTTTAGGGCTTTAGGGTTTTAGGGTGTAATTAGGGCTGAGGGATATAAGTACTTTAAGGCCGAAGCATATATCATATTTGGTACATGGAGAATGAGGGGAAAGGGGAGCATCGCCGCCTCCAGGACAGGCGCCCTCAGACTGTTCCAGTCGAAGGCCTGACACAGGACTGGGCTCTCATCCTACCCAAAACCCT